GCTGTTGCTTCACAACTATAAATCGAATAATAATTCCAAAGTCTATACCGGTAAGATAAATTTCCAGTTACCACTGAACATCCTGACCTTCCATTCAAAACTGATCCATCAGTATAAAAAAAAATGTGATCTTTATATTCATTATGCATTTCATTAAATAAGGTTTTATATGTGGACGGAGAGGTATCGTCTTTATGGTACTTGGCTAGCTCAAGATTAATAGGAAATTCGTAAGTTTTCCAGGGAGCACATGCTAGTGATTTTTTTGTAAGTATATGTGGCACTGTAATGTTTAATTCATTTAAATATTTGGCTGCTCTAATACGCAAGGGTTTTGATAAATTACTTTGAAATTCATATTCAGCATCTACAGCCGATGTTTTAGTATAGTAATCATAAGTTGAAGTATCAGGTTGAGATAATATATTTATAGCATATACAGTTACTAGCTGCTTTCTTCTTATTCCTAATGGGGTTTCTCCAGCTTCAGCTAAAATACTCATAATTGGACTGGTCCTAAATGCACCAATACATAATCGAAGGGCAGTATTTTGAATGCTTTCTAATGAATTTAATGTACGTTGTTTTGCAGAATCATAAATAATAGAACCGTAATCAATTTTTTGTCGAATTAAGGCATGATACGTATTTATTAAACATTTCCTATCAGATCCCCATGTAGTTGATGATAATATTTTTATTATGTTTAATCTTTTATAACATTCTGACTTAAGTTTATTAATATGAGCAATCCAAGACATTTTTTTATCAAATGTTAAACCTAAAATTTTCAAATTATTTACTTCTTTTATAATATGGTCATTTAGTATTAAATGTTCGTTATTAGTTTTACTTTTCTTATTATTTAATACGATATATTCTGTTTTAGTCTTTGAAAACTTAAATCCTGATTTTTTAGACCATTCTTGGAGACTATTAAGTGTATTTTGAATTAGATATAATGTAGGTTTTAATGTTCTACCACTGCAAATTACTGTTAAATCATCGGCAAATAGAAATCCCTTTACCGGTTTTTTAATATATGAAAGAACATCATTAATTGCAAGTAAAAAAAGGATTACACTAAGCACAGAGCCTTGAGGAAGACCGTTTTCTATAGAAACAGGGTCAGATAAAGTTTCATTGATTCTAACTTTAATTGATCTATCTGAAAGAAAGTTTCTTACAAATGCTAGAATGTTTCCTTTTATATCAATGTCTTGTAGTAGTTGAAGAACTCTGTGTTTCCAAACCATTTCATAAGCTTTTTCTATGTCTAGGGCTACAATCACAGAATAATTATTATTTGCAAAGCTATCAAGTACTTCACTTTCGATATTCATTAAGTGGTCTGTTGTTGAACGGAACTGACGAAAACCGTATTGAAATGGCGAAAGATGTTTATTTGATTCTATATACCACCTAATTCTTTTGCTAATAATATTTTCGAGTATTTTACAAAGGTTACATGTTAGAGAGATTGGTCTATAACTTGTTGTCAAACTTGATATTTTTCCGGGTTTTAAAATGGGAACTACTAACGCTTCTTTCCAGGCATCTGGGAACACCTGTTTCTTCCAAATGTAATTGTACAATTGAAGTAAGTATTCTAGTCCAGAGATTGGTAAGTTTTTAATTATTGTATTTGGAATGTTGTCTGGACCTGGACTAGAATTATCTAGTTGAGACAAGACTAGTAACAATTCATGCATTTGGATGTCCTTATTAATCGAAATTAGAGTTATCTAAAACATCAAAATTAGATGCCGACTCATGACTTCTTTTATACCCAATAAATTGATCATCATAATTACTTGAGCTAGAATTAGTTGCGAAGGATGTTGCTAGTAGGTGAGAAGTTTCTGATGGATTGTATATGAATGTGCCGTCTGAATGCTGAATTATAATATTGTTAAATCTAATTTTATTATGATTAAGTATTTGTAACTTTTTCCACATATCACCAGTAAGTGTTCTATTATTAATTGACGAAACCCAATTTTCCCAATACCTCTTTCTACTCTCTTTGAGGAGCCTTCGGTAGTAGGCTCTCTTTTTTTTATATTCAATTTTATATACCGAATTAGGATTTCTAGCAAATTTTTTAAATAGTTTTAGCGCTTTTTTAGTTTCTCTAATTGCATTTTTACATTCATCATTCCACCACGGTAGACTGTATTTTTTTAAGGTACCTGATGTTTTAGGTATTGATTTGTTAGCTGCTGCAAGGATCATTTTTGTAAAATTTTCAACAATATTGTTAATCGGACAGTCAAAAGTAGACTCTAAACTTATTAAACTAGAAATATTTTCATTAATATCTTCGGTAAATTGTAACCAGTCAGCTTTATCAAACTTCCATTTTTTTGGTAGTCTAATATCGCTAGGTATGTCATGAAAAATTTGAGATTTAATTAAAATTGGAAAATGGTCACTATCGTATAGATCTTCTAAAACATTCCATTCAAAATATGATGATATATCTTGTGAAGCCAAAGTTAAATCTATACAGCTTGAGTGACCAGAATTACTATTAAAGTGAGTTGGCTGGCCATTGTTTAATACTAGTACATTATCATGATTATCAAGCCATTCAGCTATTATTTTACCTCTGGTGTCACATTTATCAGAGCCCCAATAAAAATGATGACTGTTAAAATCACCTAAAACTATAAAAGGTGTTGGCAATTGACTAATTAAATCATTAAATTCGTCAATATTAATTTGGTTACTATTAGGAAGATAAATGTTGCATATTGTCATAGCTAAGGGAAATTTAATTTGTATCGCTACTGCTTCTAAATTTGAGTTTATCTGTAATTCTTTAGCCATTGTGAATGATTTAATAAATATAGCAACTCCGCCACTGGCTCTGTTATAGTTTAATCGGTTTTTATGGAAATAATCATATCCTGTCATAGAAGCGCAATAGTTCGAGGTAAAATTTGTCTCTTGGAAACAAATGCAAGTAGGTCGTAAAAGATTGGTTAAAATTTTAATATTTTCGAGACGTTTGAAATATCCATTTATATTCCACTGTAAAAATCCATATCTTTATAATAATAAGAAAAAATTAAATTTATTTATGTACCGTATTAAGTAAAAATATAAACGTACTTATTAAACTTTGTTTGTATTAGTTATAGGGGTTACATTAACTATTTCATATAATTTTCTAGATAAGCGAGAGCATCTGTTCTTTAAACTTTTGTTCATTTTACAGTGCAACTTATTACACATTTTAATGAGATCTATGATATTATCGGTATATGAATATGCTAATTCCTTTATATTTTGCTTACCCCGTGAATTATCTAATAAACTAATAAATTGGTCTAAATTAATAGGAAAACTAATCCCTTCACTTAATTCTGATATATTATTTTCGATATCTTTCCAAACTTCTTCTTCAGTTCTAGAGTCCTTCTTCAACTTTTTTTTGATTTAATTTTTCCCTCTATATCTTCTAAAGAAACATTGCTTCCTGTGTCATCAGATTCCAATTCCGTTATACGATTTTCATCTTCAGTGGTACTAATTCTTATTAAATTTTGTTTTGATGATTCACTGGTAGTTGGTGAATGGATTCGTTTTTTCCCTTTTAAATTGATTTGAGATGGTTCCAGAAAATTTTCATTTATCAGTGGGATAGATGGCTGGTTGGTTACAAGATCGTCGATTGTATTATTTGAGTCATTAGTTTCTTCCATTGCCTGATTCTCCGGTATTTGGGATTTTTCTAAATATTGTGAACAATTTTTGGCTAAATGACCCATTGTGTTACATACAAAACATTTTAAAGCATCAGTGGATATATAAATCCAGTAATTTGTCCCTTCAAAAGATAGTTGAAATGATTCCGGGAGTCGCACTTCATCATCTGGGTTTATATATAATTGTCTTCTGAAGCTTAATATATGGGAAAAACCAGGATCAGCTATTCCTACTTTCATGAACGTTATAGGTGACATTACATTAATATTTAGATCCTTAAATTTTTGTTCAATTACATAGTTAGGTATTACGGGACAGACATTAGATAAAACTATTCTCTTATTTCTTGTAATGAGCGGTTTAATCTCAAGCATATTTTTTTGTATAATAACCTTTTTCTTTTCTTCTACTAAATTGTCAGCTGTTCTTTTTGAATCTAAATATATACAGATACGTGCATTCGATATCCGAGATATGAATCTGATAGATGTAGCAGGTATGAGGGAAGATAAAGCTATGAGGTACTCCCTGAGTGCTATCCCATCGATGGAATCCAGTATTATGGCTTGGTCTTTCTTGGGGAAACATGTTGACGATGTTACATTAGCGTAACTTGCAGTATTAGGTGTTGTTTCTGACGTTGTAGGTAATTGAGACATTGTGGGGTTAGAAGACTTTGGGACTGAATACATTTTTATGCAAGGGATAATTTCCTGTTGCCAGGAAAAAACCCTGTATAAGGTTTTCCACTATCTAGGCAAGTATAGTCACTTTACGCGTAAATTAAAACACGACAACGAATCGAGCGAGGTGAGACACGCGCGTCCGCTGTGACTACCCGCGTGGAACTGTGTTTTTTTTTTATTATATTACTTTGTACCTACTGTTTGTTTCCCGAATAAAATTAATTAATAAAAATAAACTCTTCTGTTGAGTTAAATAATAATTTTCTTGCGAAAGTATAAAAGAAAATTTCTAAAAGCTGGCTTCAATCACATTTTTTAACTTTCTTCCATTTACGTCGCTCCAACTATGTGTTTTATGCTAGCAGCATATTTTTTCCTATCGAGCTATATATTGCGAAAGAGAAAATTTACATTCGAGTCGAGATAGATGCGAATGGTAATATAAAAATATATATTTTAGTTCCTTTCAAGAAGTTTCAAAATATTTATAAAACTTTAACAATTTAAAAATTTACATATCGAGTTAAGACAGTAATGCATGCTAGAAGGATAATATTATAAAAAATATTAAAAAAAGTGATATGTAACATAATTTCTTACCTTTTTTCTCTCTTCCTCCATCGTGTCTGAAGACGATTGGGCGGTTGTGCTCCCTTCGCCATAGTACTGTGGGCGGCGGGACGCCGGTCGCACTGCAAGTTAAACGCACACTTCCCCCTTCTCTCGCCGAACTGCCTTCCGTGACTGAATCTACGATGTCTGGCGGGATCACAACCGATAAGTGACCCATCTGTTTCGAAACCATATCTTTTCTCAATTTATGTTTAGGTATTCAATGTCGCTGGTAGAATAAAGATATTTGAACCTTTGGATGTTTGATACGGGGCTGCTTTTTAAATGACAGACAAACAGTCAGATAATATATTTATATGTTATATATATATATATATATATATATATATATATATATATATATACATATATATGAATATATAACGAAAATATTGATATTTACTTGAAAATTATTTACCAATTAATCACATTAACAGTATTAATAAATTACTTACGCAGAGTTTGATGCATAGCGACTTTCTTGTTAATTATTTTTATTATTACTCTACAATAATATAATACCATTTATTTTGCACTTATCTAATCAATCGTATTAGAAAATCCTTAAAATATACAAGTAATTTGATATGTACAAAGCATATAGTTTTAACTTATTCTTATAAGTTATAATATTAATAAGGCACTTATTCAAGAAGTATACGTTATTACTCTCCACTCTAATGCCCGCGCAGATCAATCGATAACCTCTCAATAACTTCCACAAATTGCCAATATCAAATCGCAGATTGTGATATCTGATACCAAATTAATTATGTTTTTACAACCTTTTGGCCATCGAAGTGTCATATAGGTTTGATTAAAGACTTAACAGTTCTAGGCCAGTGTGATTTAAACTACCTACATAGTACCTATTTCATTTTTATATAATTTTCATGAAATATACAAAATCATTTGTTTTTTCATTTTTTTTAATTAAAATAAATATAAAAGTAGGCAATTTTATATAGCGACATCATATCAGCTAATATTTAACAGTTGCTCATAAATTATGTAATTTACGTTCTTGGCAAACATGGATTTCTATTTGGCGGTTTTAGCGAGAAAAGGTATTAAAAATAACACGAATATTTTTATGTTACCGTATAGATTATTAAATTGATATAAATATACAAATAATGTATACATTTATAAGCAATTTTACAAATATAACATAGTTATTAAAATCATAATCCACTGTCAGGATTACCCCACCTAAAATAATCTCTAAAACTATCTATACATAGTTTCATGTTGTTTCTATTCTTTAGTCTTAGTGAAACTCAGTCAAAACTTCATATCCGTCGAAATTTGCTCACGTCGTAGGAAATGTTGCAATGTTGTCGACACCAATCGCCCCAGGCGTATCTACATGATGTTCAGTGGAAGTTTCCGTAATATTGTGTAGTTCAATTATTAATATAACATCTAACATCAAGACAGCATTAAGTATGTTTATTACTAAAACTTAAAAATGAACTTTCTTCATTTTCTTTCATCATTTCTCCCTTTAATCAAGTTTTATTAACCCCCGACGCAAAAAGAGGGGTGTTGCAAGTTTAACTGTCTGTGGCATCGTAGCGCCCAAGCGGATGATCCGATTTTAATTTAGTTTTGTTTGAAAGGTGACTTGAGTAGGAGTGCTCTTGGGTTTATTAAAATGACCTCTTATTATTAAATTATTAAATTAATTTCTTGTGTCATATTAATATAAATATATACCTATAAAAATGTTGATTTTGTTTTGTTTTGAACGTCTTACTTGAAACTCAAAATGTATAACAATTTACATAGGCGTCAATTGCTAATAGTAGCTTCTAATTTAGTGAGAGAATATAACAAACCGAACAATCATTATTAATTTTATTTTTGATGTAAATTTGTTATTTCTTCTTTATTTCATTTTATAAATAAGAATAGGTTTAATGATACGGTTTTTCCATTTTCTAGCAGCAATGAGATGCAGAGTAAATACCTAATGCACTTAATCTGAGCTTTACAGAAGAATGGAAGTTTTGTCATGCAATAGAATTGAACCATTGACCAGTACCGGAGTGATTATTACCTAACAGATAAATAATCGACTTTATATTATTTAATATTTATATTTTTATATACATACATATATTGATATTTGAATAAATAAAATATCTCCCTATATTACTATGGCCGAATTACCGTCACGTTGAGGACAGGCCCATGCCTTGCGTAAGACGTTATAAAAAATGCTAAATTATTTCCTTACCTGGCTCTTCATAGGATCAGTATTGACTTGACACATGTAAGTGCCAGAATCATTTGCCTGGACGTTGCTCACGTGAAGTTTCCAAGTATTGTGATTATTGTAAGTGACGGACAGTCGTGGATTCAGTGCCACCATGTTTGTGTGAATTGCTAAAATTGCCTTTGAATCCGATTTTATCCACGCTACCTGTAAAAATAAATACAATTTACACTCTTCTAAAGTACACAGAATTATTTTATAAACGCTTAAAGAAAATGCATGGTAATATGTTAATATTACATGTCATGCTTAATTTGCCTGCATAGTTTTCTATGAGAAAAAATATCTATTTTGTTATTAACTCAGATTACTTGCGCAGTTAAAGACGTCTGTTCGTGTGACTGCCACAAATTTTCCGTTTTAACTAAGCAATTTAACTGTACAGGAAAAATTTAAGAGACATATTGAGCGTAGGTACAAAGCTCTAAGCTATTATTGAGTCTATGTCACGCATTATTAAATCTCTACATTCAAATATATTCCTAAAATCAAGTTAAAGAGTAAACTTTTCATTCGCATATCCGTTCTTAATAAAACGCGTGTATCTTAAATAAATAATAATAATAATATTCGCTTTTATAACAAATATTTTTTATACGTACATATAGTATAATATATCCTTGTATCATTTTGCACATAAATAACAGCTTATTTACGAATATGACACTAGAATATAATATACATCGTAAAGGAAGTGAAATATTATGCCCTTTGTACGGAGTCTAATTAAAGAATGCAATTAGAAGCAGTGTCGGCAAAACAAAACACGCCGGGGATTGCATACGAGCGTGAAATTTCATTTAATGTCTAGGACTAATGTCATAAATGGCTCGCAATTTCCTCGGCGCTTCTCCAAGTTTTAAATCGTTTGTATTGTTCTCTGTAAGAGGCAAAACTTAATGTGACTTAAACGTTGTAGCTATGGCGTGCTGTAAAAGTAAGGGTGTGACACATAAAATTGTACCGTGTTTCAACCGAGGAATGTACGGCGCCTCATCCAACAGTTTCCACATATTTTTCATGTGACATCTCCCTTTGTTGCGGTCGGAAAATAAATTAGTAACAATTTCATTGTTTGTGGGAATTATTTCTGACTAGCGTTGGAGCTAATATTTCTAACAGAACGTTTCGCGAGCTACGTTATTATGAACATATTCTCAGAATGTGGTGTCACGCTGTTATTACTTATTTGTAATACCATTATCTATTTTGTTATATTTTTATGGAGTGTTTATATTTTTATACAAAATATAGTTTTATTGATTGATTTATTGTTTGTTATGTAATGTGTAGTGAGACAGAGGCAGTGGTGGCCCAGTGGTAACACGGTCGCTTGGGAAACCAAGGAAACAGGGATGAAATACCAGGTCTTGCAACTCTGATATTTTCATGTGGGAATCATTTTCTACCTGATTACTACTTGTCTTACGGCGAAGGAAAAAAAACATCGTGACAAAATTGAGCTTGAACGCGCATGTCTGCGAGAACCAACGCCAACACACATTTGGCCAGCATGGTGGACTATGGTCTGATCCCCCTCGTATTGAGGGAAGCCCGTGCCCAGCAGTGGTACATAAAAATCTTTGAAAATTCGCCATATTGGATTTTCAATTACGTCACGTTATTTATTATGTTTCGCTCATTAAGCCCTTTCAATTGATGTACATATCATAAGGGTCACTATGGAAATGATTAATCGCCATTTTGTAACTTCCGCCATGTTGGATTAAAAATGGCAGCATTTAGTAATCGTACATTGTATTGGGAACCAAACTAGTGTGCCAGATTACGGCTCAATCAGATACTGGGACGTGGATCAAATTTAACTTGCAAGATTCCATTACACAGACCCGGGCAGGTGAAACTAAATAAAAAATCTTGTAATTAACATAAAAAAGGGGCAAAATATGAGATAAAATTTGCGAGTTAAATTTCAGCCTTTTATGTTATTATAAATATTTTATAAGCTAAATAAATTGATATATTCTACGCTAAATGACTATACTTGTACATAATAACTAAAACGGATTTGTGACAGCAATTTTTTAGTACTGAGGTGGTTTTCGAATCTGATTTGAAGTAAATAATAAGCTCATGAGTATGTTCACATATTTTGAATGACGAATTCGTTTCTATCAAGATAATTTTGGCATAAAATGGGTTCCCATTTGTTAATGAATCGTTTTCTTGTATTTATATAACTACTTAATATAATAAATGTGAAAGTTTGTGACCGTGTCACGCCAGAACGGCTGAACGGATCTGGATGAAATTTGGCACAGAGATAAATTATTGTCTGGAATAGCACATAGACTTTTTATCCCGGAAAAATACATGGGTCCCATGGGATAGGTTTTTTCCTAGAGGTGAACCCGAGCGAAGCGAGAGTGAGCCGCTAGTTGATTTTAATAAATTGATTCGATTTATTCATGCAAATTACTATCCGCCCACCTATAACACTAATTAATTATTGGTTATATATTTAATTGGTTATGATATCTATACAATATAAATGCTTGTTTTAGTTGTGAACTTTTAAATTTTGGCTGAAATCCAGAATGACTAAAAGAATTTTTTATTTCCTATAATTTTAAAAGGTTTTTATATATTACAGTTTTAATTTGTATTATCGCTAAAAGTTTCATCGAAGCTCTTCTCAATGAAATTAGTATCTTTTTTAGGATTTGCTACTTTAGTGTCTCTTGATAATTGTTTAGAATTAACTTTAGAATTAACTTTACCTTCCATTTAAGCTTAGAATAGTTTCTAGACTCAATCCCGTTCATTCATGATGCAAAACAGTAGCTATTGCAATGATCACAAAACTTTTAGTAGGTTATTTCATTAGTTGAACGAAAGCAGAGTCTGTTTGAACTAAATGCTTTTGAATCGTTTTAATGTGGAGCTTGTAAAGGAAAACAGCGAGAAATTTAACTATTTGTACTTATTGGTATTTTTTAACAGAATAACAAGTGTTTTCTTTTTATCTTGCTCTGTAATTGTTGATTGCAGGAAATATTTGAAATGTAATTCTATTGTAGCATTTCTTATTATTGGTAGATCAATAAGTGGCTAAAGCGCTTTGTTCAAATGTAAAAGAAACAGCAAATTACATTTCTAAAGACTTTTAAAACATTGAATATTTTATTAACCTGATAAGGTCGTAGTTGTTTTTTAAATATCAAACGTACTATTAAACTATCTGGTGTGCTTACTGCTTAATTAAAATGAAATATTGTATTATTAGTACTAATTGTAGGACAATGGAAAAGTGAATATTATGTGTAGGTTGTAAGATCGTTTTTATAAAGTTAAATAAATATTTAACAAGGTAAAAATAGGTCGTTTTCATAAAAAACTTATTATGACTTTATTAACATATTATCTCCTTTTTATCATCATAAATAATTATTTATGTAATAATTATTTGATTATAATCAAAGAGTGTTTTAATATAATATTAAAGATAGAAGTTCTGTAGAATGAAACAAAAAAGCTTAGTTGGCACTGAATAGCAAACATAATGCCGCCTCATTTATAAATATGTAATAACGGTTTAAATGTTAGTAATATTAAAGATGAGAAAACCTATTTGTATATTTTAAAATTGGAAAAAAATCATACACAAAATTAAAAAAATATCCAAAAATTGAAACTTATTTAATTTTTTCCCCCTATAAATAGACTACAACAATGTAAATTGTTTGTTCATTTATTTATATTTTGAATAGCTTTAAATAAATTAAAAGCTCCTTGAATAGTTTGTATTTATGTATTATAGCAATTTATAGTGTTAAATAAAAATGATTCTAGACACTAAAAAGTAAACAGTAAAAAATAACTGAATGGGGGTTTTCGTTTATTATCGCACTTTGTGTATTGAGTTTCTCAATTTGAATCAAATCAGCATATGCTCAAAGTATTTATTAGTAGCCGTTGCAGAGTTCCACTCAGTTTGATGATACTAAATCACTGTACTATCACTGGAAATACAAACACTTGCAAAGTTTCAAGTCGATATGATAGTTAGAAGTAGGTACAAAGGCCTAATTAGATCTGTTAACACACTTCAAATTTAATGGGTCGCTTCAATTTTCTTGATTTTCCCGAAAACGGAAAACTATATGTCAAATAAAATTTTCCAAGGAATAAAGGAACCATCTCGGGACCTACCTTAATAAAATACAATTTAAACTGCCAAAATCGGTCTAGTCGTCTCCGAGAAATCGGTGAACATACATAAAAAAAATTACATACAGACAAACATAAAACCTCTTTCTTTTTGAAAGTCGATTAAACATTAAAACATAGATAAATAAATATTATGTTTATTTTGCAATTATTTATTACGTCTCTTTCTACCTATACAATCCGAAAAGTGAAAATTAATAATATATACTCATAATAACCTAAATGTACCTAATTTCATTAAAAATTCGTCTGCGGTGTATTTAATGTTTTTAATAATATAGTAAATCTACATACAAACTATAATAACTATGTATGAACTTCTCTCTTGTTTGTATAATAAAAGTTAACACTAATTAACAAATGTAAGCTTCCGAAGTTAGGTGCTTGCATATATAAAAGTCTATTAAAAGCTACGCTTAACATACTTTCCTGTTTAAGTATAGTTAGAATTAGTTTGTTTTTATAAAATACACATCGAAGATATATGCTTCCTGAAATATAACGCTGCATGCTGAATCTTTGCGCAATTTATTATTTTATAGTAGCGAAATTCTAAAAAACTCGATAATTCTCTCTACATTCGACGAACTAACTTTAGATTTCGCTGTATTGCAGATCCGAGATGCGTAAATATTTGTCGCTCGTGGGATTTGAACTCAGGACCTCCGGAGAGATTTGGACCACGTCAACAGAATTATAAAATTTATTAATAATGGTACGTAATTATATTTTTATAAAACGATGGAAAATTTTGCGATATGTATAAAAACAAAGTTTTTTTTTTTCATATTGTCAGTTGCTTTTTGCCATTATAGAATTAATTAATTGTTAAAAGTTTTAGAGTAGAAAAATTCTCTCTCAGAATCAAAGTTTTGCCGGATAGTGCACACATCAAACCCACAAACTCCGGCATATTAGTCACTTCATTATGCTACGTTGCGCCATTTTGTATTTTT